TTTTATTTTTCATCGCTTAAAATATTTCTGAAAGTAACGCGAAACATCTCCGCTCGGGCAGTTTGCCGAATGAAGGGTTATCACCAGATTTGGCACAGATTTTCGCCATTGAACATGTCGTCCTCAGGTGTGCAGCCGAAAGCTTCAGCGAACGGTTCGCTGTTGGAACACGAACCCCAGACTCGGTATTTTCCCGGGCTGTGTTCGTCGTTGAGAACAATATTCAGGAGACCGGCTTGAGTGTAGTGACCGCACCACAGCTGCAAAGAAAATTCGAAATGGATGAGTTGACGAAATATATATCGAGGAAATGCGAGAAAATCCATGCGGTGTGGGGAAAGAAAAATTGAGTAAATATTGAAGGAAGTTCGAAGAACCAAGTGTTGGCGGATTGCTACAGCGTTGGCGAGATCGTCGTAGAAAATTTTGAAAATCGCCGAGTTGGTCTTTTAAAAAATGCTCAATTTTTTTTCCACCACTATATTTACTTTGGCATGATGCGCTCAATTTTTTTTTCCTGGAAATCTGGACCAAAATATGGGTTTGGCCTATTACATTACTTGGTTGTAAAATTTTTCCATACATTTTTACATTTTGTGTGTGTAATGTAGGTGGGCTCTCTTCGCAACACAATTCAAGGGACTAGAAATGAATTCGTTGTTGAGAGAATTTTGCCGTAGAGAACCCCCAGAATATGGAAAGTGAAGCCTATTGTGCTAAGAAAAATTGTTGCACAGAGAAAATCATTGTGGAGAAAGTCCACCTGAACTTGAATCAATCAAGAATTTATGAAAAAGCTACGAGTATTTACACTCATAAGTTCAGCTACAAAATTTAATTCCTTTCTATTGGGGTCTGTTTAATCTTCTCAATTTTATTTAATCCAAAATTCAAATTTGTGAGATATTGTGGATTTTAATATTGACTTCATCGATCAGGTAAAACTCGGGTACGTATTCCTCATACAGGGATACGTTTTTTCCAAAATTTTCATCTGCAAAATTAAGGTGTACCTATTCCTTGAAGTACTTGAGGGAAAATAGATTTGGCCATTTTCTGACCGTGCCGACCTATTTTAACTAAAAAAAAAAAAAAACTTACGACAATCCTAAGTCAATTAAACATAGAACAAATCTAATTTTATCTTTTCCACGTAAGTATTACAGGTATTTCAATGATGATGGGCAAATGAATACAGTATGAGCTTCAATGTGGGAGAATTATTTCCATGCTGCCCGATTGCTGGGTTTTCATTGTGGTGTTTGGCTGAGTTACTCATATGAATACTCTACGACGAAGTCTATGGTTTACTATTTGTGTGTGTATACTACAGTACATACGGTACAGTATACAGATAAACGTGGCGAGGTTTTTCTCGAGCTCTCAACGCAAATCGAATTCGTCAATTCGCTCCGATTGAAAGAAAAGGCGACTCTTACGTTGCCGAAGTTGATGAAGAAGAGCTGTTCGGGTGTGAACTGCTGGAGCCCGGGCAACACGGGTTCAGCTCCGTTCGCCTCTTTGTACCTCAGATACGCGTTCCAGGCCTGTCTCATGCCTCCGTTATCTGCGAGGTTTTCTCCCAGGGTCTGGAGTCCGTCGAGATGCGCTTCCGGAATGACCGAGTCCAGTTCCGGTACTAGGTAATTCGTGTACTGGTTGATGAAGCACTGCGCCTTTTCGACGAAAGCGTCGCCCGTCGCTGGCGTCCACCAGTTGATGAGGTTGCCCAACTCGTCAAACTGGCGCCCGTTGTTGTCGAATCTACACGTGCCCCCGAGGCAGGTTAAAAAAATTAATTAATTAAAAAAACTAATTCATCAAGGGACCCAGAGAAATCATTGATTCATAAAACGAATGCCTATACCTATACTGAGACCATCTCGGGTTCACAAAATCTTTTGCTCTTAATTTACTAGTTGAAAATTTTATTTAAATTCCGCTCTGACTGAGGAAAAAAAAAATTTGCTGGCGAATCTAATACAGTAGGTGGACTCTCTTTACGACGGAACGCAAGGGACCCGAAAAAAAATCGTTGTAAAGAAAATTTCGTTGCAGATTGAATTTTCGCGTACCCGTGAGTCATTTCGTGCCCAATGACGACTCCAATGCCTCCATAGTTGAGTGACTGAAGGCTGTTGGACTGGAAGAAAGGCGGCTGAAGGATCCCAGCGGGGAACGTGATGCTGTTCATGGACGGATAGAAGAAGGCGTTCACGATCGAAGGCTGAGTGATCCACAAGTCCCTGTTGGTGGGCACATGCAGTGTCTTTGCCATGTCATTCCAGGACCAGGAGTCGTAGCTGTAAATGTTTTGGAACAACGCTGCTGGAACAGCTGTGAGCTGAAACAA